AAATGCAACGAAAGGTTATTTCTAAAGAGTAATTAGCCAGAAACCATCCCGGTAGTATACTAAACATCTTCCCAAAGTTTCATCACGATTGGTTGTAGTAATAAGACAAAAGAACGCATTTCAAAACAAAAAAATTGATGATGATAAATGCAAAAAATCTACGATTGTAAAATAGATTAAATTAAAAAATAAAAATAACTGTTAACATTAGGAAAATAAAAACAGGCCTATCATATGAAGAAAAAAATAACGAAAATTTTGGTATATAGATCGTTATGTGTAGTTCAGAATCTTCGGAGGAGATAGCTCAGGACTTTACAATGGAAAACTCTGTTACGCTATTATCTATATAGATATTTACCGTTATGTATTTGAATTCATACTTAGCCCTTACTTTTAAATTTAAAAACGAAGAGTATATTGTTGCGGAATATCTTCAAATATATTTATAGTTATTTTTCCCATTTCTCGTGATACCCATCCTTCTAAAAATAATCCTTCCTTCTCAAATTTTATCATTCTGTAATATCATTCCAATCTGGCCTATGTCCTGAATATAATGCATGTTCCCCAATTTTACTTAACGCCCTTCTCCCCAATAAACCCTGTTGGTGTTCCTTAATTCTGGTCTCTAATTTACGGCCGGTTTCTCCTACATAAATTTTGTCACATTCTGTGCATTTAATCCCATAAATTACATTATCTGGTTTGATGTGTTTATTATATTCTTCATTATGTTATTTCTTGTTTAAAATTCCCTTTTAGTTACAATACTAAATATTGTATATAATATTTTACCAAACTCTAGATATTTCCATATCAATATATGGAATATATATGGAGAGAATTATTAAATTATTGTAAATATTTATCTTCTTATAGAAATTCATATATTCTAATATATTTATTTACGAAGCCAACTGGATATTGTTTTAATTCCTTAATATTTTTATCTCTTTTGTTAATATTGTCACGAAATTGGTTTTATGTAAATCAAATGTTTATATTAGTAAATATGTAAATATTTTAATGTTATATAAGGAAGGTATGTAAATTCTGTAACTGAGTTTTCATTTCTTGTTTCTAGTTTTGTTGTGAGTGAAACATCACGGTGTATCAATTGATTAATAAAATTCTAATTTGAAACTGTGACAATATCTTGGTCTATGTGTACATATCTGTTTGACCTTTTACTACAGGAATAATTTTAACTATATAGCCATCGCCGACTGATATTAAACGGGGATTAATATTTTTAGAATTACCAATTCATATATTAATGTATAGGGCTCCTCTCCGGTCAAAATAAACGTCAAAACTAAACACCATCTATTGACCGTCGCCGCATACTAGCGGACTCGGGTCAGAGACAAAGGTGACGCTCTCAGTTTACCAAAGCTGGTGTTGTGGCTTTGCCACCGACACGAGGCCGCTAGTTTTCGGCGACGGTCAATAGATGGCGTCTAGCTTTGACTTTTATTTTGACGGGAGAGGTGCTCTATGCTTTTATAGATCGATTTACCTCCGGACAAAAATCCATCTATATACGTATATATATATAGAACAGACAATAAAAGCGAAATATACTGATTTTAATAATTGTTTGCGGAAGAGCATTGCTCGATGCAAATATATATGTAATTCTACTGTCCTAAAAGCGTATATCCATATTTTTCTTGAAACCCATATCTGAGATTCCACCCTTCAATGCAGCATATATATAAACAGAATCGTCCAATACAGTATTAGAGCTCTAAGAAGCGGTCTGGTAGATTGAATTGACGAAACATCTGGGGGGGGGGGGGGGTTCACCACTGATGAGCCAAACGCTCCCAATATTTTTTCATCGCATTAAGGACAGTAGAAGTTTGTGTGGTATGTAAAAGAAATATTCGTACTTAAAACCTTTATTTTTATAGAAATAAGTAACAAAAATAATTCTAAATTGATATGTTAACTAACACATTTAAATATATATCTAGAATATTATTAATTATAGATAATTTATAATAAAATATAATGCGGCTTATGATTGTAGAACGACACATTTGACAAGTTTTACCGCAAATGTTTCTTTTAAACGAAAAATCATAATTTATTTTTGTTGAAATTGACAATTGCAGATATTTCTACACTATTTGATATGCAGATATTTGCATAGTATTTCAGTATTTTTTATGTTAATTGACATCTCTGCATATATAGCGGGGCTTTGTTGGATTGTTGGTTAGGCTAGCGGTTATTGGATAGGGTATGCCGGCGTGAGCTGCTGATGTAAATATAATTTGTCCTTCTTTTATTGTTTTATACCTTTAGGTAATAAAGGTTCTTTCTCTTCCTCTATGAATATATAATTTTTTTACCAACAATTTTAAGAAGAAATAACGACTATTTCTATCCTTAGGGATGAAGTATGAAAGGATGAATTGTGAAGAGTAATGATAAACGGAAATATAAAAGTGTATAATAATATATTTGAATGAAAAACATACAGAGCATGGGTATAATGATAGAGTACTGTACACCAATATATTTCACCCCATTAACTCTATTGACGTTAATAGGGAAATCATATTTGATAAATAGGAAGCCAATCAATGCAGCAGAACGTTTCTCGGTAAAAAACTTGGTCAAACCTGCACGCTGTGCTCCGTGTTCTTTTTGCGTGCAGAAAGGGGACAAGGAAAGAGTGGCAAAAAAGACATGGAAAAGCAATAAAATTATATAGAACAAAATGTACAGAATACATTGATCAATGCTTGCTACTTGGTATATAGGTTAGGGGAAAAAATAAAATGTTTTTTTTTTATCGGAATGTGTGTACTTTCTACAATTAAAGTTATAAATGAGTTTGATTTCGTATTTTCTGTAGCAATTAAATTTAATTGAGAATAATTGGGAGTGAAATTACACAGATTTTAATTATATATTTAATTATTTTATAGAGAAAAATTAGAATTTGGGTAAAATGTTGTTTTTTTTTATTTAAGGGTTTGCAAATTTGTTTCATTTGTTGTTAAATCATCATTTTGATATTGTAAGCGATAGTATTTGTACGTCGAAAAGCAATATGTGTTCGAAAGCTTGCAAAATATCAAATAAAAAAATAAACTTTTTACCCAAGTTATTATTTTATTATTAATATCCCTAGTACACGTGGTTCAGTCCATGATAATCATGGTGGGTAGAAGTTTGCAACTACTCCTATTATATTACGATGCACTAGCGCGCCATCTGTTATCAAATTACAAAACTATTTTGGACGCGTAATATTCTTTTTAAAATAAAACAATTTATACTGCCCTTACTGCAATGGAAAAATTACTCCTATTATAAGTACACCACATGTCTACACATGTTTAAAAGCAGTTCGGCTTTTCCACTTACAAATATGCCAGAGCCTTGTTTAGTTACTTGCACTCACTGGTGGGGTTGGACTTTTGTAATAATCGGGGGACATTGAAGAATTTATTTTTTTTGCCCCAAGCAAACCTTTTTTCCAAAATTCTAATTTTTCCCATTGAAATAATTCCTGGGTAACTATTGCTTGCATATTAATTTTTTTTTGTATAGAAAAAAAAATATAAAATACGATAATATTGGCAAGTCGTGTATCTATTAAAAGTCTATTAAACAATATTGCAATAGGAATATTTTATTTCACATTTTATATGATAGCTTTTAAGATGAATGGTTTTCAAAAGGTCTATTTCTATATAATATTACACCAAAATCTTTGTTTATTTTTACTGTCCAAACCTCAATGGAATAATATATTAGGAGGGCTTAGCTCATCAGTGGTGAACCCTCCCAGCGGTTTCGCCAATTTAATCTACCAGACCGTTTCTTAGAGATCTAATACTGTAATGGATCATTCTGATTATATATGTTATACTGAAGGGTGGAATCTCAGATAAAGTATTTATGCAAATTTTAGTATTATGATTTTCAAACGAAATATGTAAATATGTTTTGACAACAGAAAGTTGACCAAAACGCTCTAGTAGTGTTAAACAGGGAGATATTCTATTTCCATCCAGCTATGCAACAATACATGTTTTGACAAAGACACGAAAGAAAAGGTACAGTAGGGGAATGTATCTCTGTACGTAAGTATAGGTACTGTAGGTGGGTCGGGACAGCTGACAGCAGGATATGTTCGATGACAGTCAGTATGACAATCGCTAATTATATCAATTAACCTAAATAGTTAATTAGCCAACATCTGCGTCGCCGCCATTCGCTCACTGGGCCATAGGGAATGGCACCTCATCCATGAACAAACTGCCGTTATATTGGAGCCCTTATATAACCTCTCTTTTGTCTATCTTAGATGTTTATCTATGTCACATATAGTCTATTGTGTCCATCTTCTCCTTATAATTTTATTATTAATGTCTTATCTATATTTTATTAAACCTATCTATCGTTTTATATATGGAAATTTATTATTAGTGTCATATATATGTTATATTCAATTTAATATTTTATAATATATAAATATTTTATCAAATTTGACCAAAAAACAAAAAGCTTTTTAAAATTATTATTTTTGTTCTGTTGTATATAGTTTTTGGTCTTTTTTTCTTTTGGGTTGGTTAAATCTGTTGTTTTTTTTATGATCTCATTTGCCAAAAATATAGTATTATATAGTTAAATTTGTTTAAAATAAGCATATTTGCTAATAATTGATATTTCATTCTTCTTTTTTTTTTTTTTTTTTGTAGGTAAAATTTGTATTCGACAATCTAAACATTTACTTAATAATTTATAACTTTTTTTTTCTCTCTCTCCACTCGGAGTATAAGATATATATATCTTATTGTGTCTATCTCACTTTATATATATATAATATAATAAAATGCGGCCTGTGATTGCAAAACGACATTTGAAATTATCCCGCATGAGTTTCTTTTCAACGAAAAATCAAAATTTATTTCAAGGAGAAACAACGATTATTTCCAACTTTTTGGATGAGGTATGAAAGGGTGAATTGGGAAGAGCTTAGTGGACATGGCATCTGCCCGGTAAGCGGAACACTGTGGGTTCGATTCCCATCCCTGGACACTTTTATTTTTCCGTTTATTATTACTCTTCACAATTCACCCTTTCATACCTCATCCAAAAGGTTGGAAATAATCATTGTTTCTCCTTGAAATAAATTTTGATTTTTCGTTGAAAAGAAACCGATTCGGGATAATTTCAAATGTCGTTTTATATATGTATATTATATAATCTAAAAATATTATATAATCTAAAAACTCTAAATATTTCTATATTTTAAAAATATATATTTTATTTTATTCATTGATAATTTTATTTTTGTTATCATCGTTTTTAGAAAGACTTTTAGTTTAGTTGTTTAGTTTCGTTGTATAATTTTGTTGTAAATATGCGTAGTTAACCAATCAATCCTTTTAAATCACTAATATAGGATTAAATTATAAATTCTATATAATGTGAAAACTAACAAATGTGTAATCTTTCCTCAAGTAATTGAAAATAAAAGCTACTTGACGGTAAATATTTATTTTTTTTTATCACGACTGCACCTCAACCCTTTATCTTATCGATCCTTTGTCTTATCAAGCCTAATCTAACAACAACACAAAATATTCATAACAATAAGTCGACAGGATTACCTGATTTTTCAACCTAATTGCTCTATAAATTATTCAAATTTTATAAAACTATTTTTACAAAATGTCTCGCAAACAAAGGAATGTAGAACACGCCATGACGCCAAATCCAAGTACTATAGAAATACCGAAATTTAATGGTCAAAATTTAGACATAACATCTTGGCTCAAATTCTTTAACAAAAAATGTTTACAGAAACATCTTGATGAAGATTTTAAACAAAATAATATATCAAATTATCTCGAGGGAGAAGCATTCAATTATTATATAGAAGAGTTACAGGATATAAATAATTGGGGGGAAATAGAACAAAAATTAACATCATACTTCACTATAAATGATTCAAATTTATTCAGTAGGTTTCTAAATTTAAAATATAATAATAATAATGATCTTGAACAATATTTTAAAGAAAAATCTGCCTTAGCCAATAAACTTAATCTTGAAAAAACACTTTTACTAGAAGCACTTACAGATGGAATGCCAGATTACCTAAAAAAATATCTAATAGCTGCAAGAGTACAAGAACCTTCAGAATGGTATAAAATCACAACCCAATTAAAATTATCAACAAATAAAGAAGAAGAACCCCAACAACCCTCTACCAGTACAAGCACTCCAGTAAAAAATTTTAACTCCAACTCCTCCAAAGCTCATCAATACCAGCCATTTTCCAGGACAGCAGCAGCAACTCATCACCAGCAAGAACCCTACAAATCCATAAACCAGCCTCCATACCCCTGCAAGATATGTGCATCTCACCAGCTACCCAACCAGATCCATTTCCATAGAGACTGCCCACTTAAGAACAATAATCATCCGAAGCGCATCAACCCAGGTAGAACATTATTACTTTTTTCTGTATTTATAAACCAAATATCCTTACCTTGTGTACTTGACACTGCATCATCTATTTCCATTATCCCTTTAAAATACTTAAACCATATTTATTATAAAATTTTAGATAATTCCCCAAAAGAAAGAATAGGTCAGGTAGAAGGATTTAGTTACCCATTATACAAAATATTGGTTAGGCTTAGCTTAGGTAAAATTACAAAATATCAAGAAATGTTTGTTTGTGATAGTCCAATAGAATATCTTATTTTAGGTTTACCAACATTTCATTTATTTAAGTTACAAATAGATTTTTCAAAAAACCTTCTTTTCCAAAATTATAAATTCTTGTATTCTTTTAATCCAAAAACTGATAATCAGAAGTCATATGCCACTACCCTATGTATTCCAGACCCATACTATGTTAAAAATTCATCTCTTTTAAATATTAACCCATTGTGTAATTTCAATTCTTTTGATATGCCAACTACAAATGTTAAACTTATAGATCCTACTTCAAATCCCACTATTGATTATAACTCATATCACAGTATGCGACAACCGGGCTCTATAACAAATTATAATTCCTATTTAGACCTTAGTAAAGTAGATATTAATCCAAATTTCTCTAATCAAACAATTTCAGATATATTGCATAAATATAAGAATGTTTTCTCTAAGCACAATTTTGATATAGGATACATAAAGACTAACCCAATTTGCATATCTCTTTTAGATAATATTCCCATAGCACAAAAGCCATATAGGACATCTTTTTACAATAATGCTGAAATACAAAAACAAATAACTGAATTATTAAAATATGATATTATTAGACCCTCATCTAGCCCCTATAGTTCTCCTGCATTATTAGTGAATAAGAAATCTGATGCCCCAAATCACCCCACAAGACTCTGTATAGATTATAGGAAACTTAATCAAAAAACAGTTCCAGAACATACCCCAATTCCACTTATAGAACAAATTATAGATAGGTTATCACAGTCAAAAATATATACTATTCTAGATGTTAAAAATGCATACTGGCATATACCCATAGATGAAAAAGATAGACATAAAACCTCCTTTGTAACACAATTAGGGTGTTATGAATGGAACAGACTTCCATATGGTCTAAAAAATGCACCTTCACAATTTGAAAGGATTATGAAGTCAGTTTTCACTAAACATAACATACACTATGCCTTAAATTATTTTGATGATATTATTATACACTCCAAAACTTATGAAGAACACATTAAACATTTAGATGACATATTAGGTATATTCGAACAAGAGGATATAAAGCTGAATCTCAATAAATGCAAATTTTTACAAAAAGAAATACAATTCTTAGGATACACTATTAACTCAGGAAAATATACACCAAATAACACAAATATTGAAGCAATTTTAAAATTAAATAGACCATATAATATTAAAACCCTACAGAGATTTTTAGGCACCATAAATATTTATAATAAATTTATTCCCCATTATGCGCAAATTAGGGCACCTTTGAATGAACTTTTGTTAAAAAATGCTCCTTGGCTATGGAGTGTGAAACATGAACAAGCCTTCCAAACACTTAAAAATTCACTCATATCACAACCTGTACTATATATTTATGACCCATCAAAACCATGTCATTTATTCACAGACGCGTCAAGTCTAGGAGTAGCAGGAGTTCTTAAACAACCAGATGAACAAGGCATTTTACACCCCATAGGTTATTTTTCAAGAAAACTTCACCCATATGAACAGAATTATACTGCCTCAGAAATTGAAACATTAGCTATCATTAATTCAGTACAAAGGTTTCACACATATCTACACAACATACATTTTACCTTGCACACAGATCACTTACCTTTAAAATGGATCAAAAATGTAAAAAACCCACAAGGTAGATTATTTAGATGGTCTTTAATCTTATCTCAATATAGCTTTGACATAAAACATATTAAAGGATTAAATAATATAGAAGCAGACATGCTATCAAGAGCACCTGTCTCATTTTACCTAACATATAATGAGTTAAAAGAACACCAATCCACAGAACAAATTAGTAGTGCTAAAATTAAAATACAAAATGGTATTTATATGATTAACAAAAAGGGTTTTAAAAGAGCTTATGTACCACAGACACTAAGACAGAAATTATTAAGCAAAGTACATACAAAGCATGGACATATTGGAACAACTCAAATGACTAAAATAATTTCTCCACACTATTATTGGCCACATATGTCTAGAGATATTGCTAATTACACCAAACATTGTGAAACTTGCCAGTTTAACAAGTCTAGGGATAACAGAATTGTTTATGGACCACTACAACAGATGCCAATAGCTACACACCCAAATCACATTTTTTCTCTAGATACATTGGGCGGGTTACATAATTATGGGACAACAAGACACAGTATCCATATGATAGTAGATCATCACAGTAGATTCCTTTGGGCTTTTCCAACAAAATCTGTATCAACTGATTCTTATATAACTTGTTTGAGAAATTTATTCCAAATTAATAAGCCTGAATTATTAATAACTGACAGAAATGCAGCTTTTCTTAGCAATAAATTTAAACACTTTTTAGAAAGAAATAATGTTAAGCATCTACTCACCAGTTCCCATCATCCAGAAACAAATGCAAAAGTAGAAAGACTAAATTCCACTATCATTAATAGGTTAAGATGTGAATATAATGCTAATTTAAAGATTCCTTGGACAAAATATATTCCTAAAATTACTGAAAGCTATAATGAAACAGTACATACCACAACAGGCTTTACACCTAAATTCTTATACTATGGAATACAACCACAGTATATAGAACATGACACAGTAACACATACACCAATTGAAAAGGCAAGAAAATTAGCCATTGAAAGAACCATAAAATCCCATGAACACAGCAAACAACTTTATGACATTAAACACCCAGAACCCATTTTTAAAGAAGGAGATCAGGTATTAGTAAAAACCTTTATTTATCCAAACACTGGTAAATTAACACAAAGATATATAGGCCCATTTACTATTTTAAAACAACTTTCTCCAGTCACATATGAAATAGATAAGCCTAATATACCCCAAAGAAAACAAACAGAAATTATACACTCAAATAAGCTTAAATTATTTTACCCAGAAACAGATTTTTTACTTCACTATAGCACTAACATAGAAAATGACTTTATAGTAAACCAAAATTCTAACACAAAGTTAATAGATATTGATGATAAACCATGTTTTTTACAGGAAGGCCATATTTTGGACATGGACAATAAAGAACAAATTTCAGCACCAATTCTTAAGCCTTCACAAATAACTTAATGTCACTTCATACATCTATTAGCGTTTCATTATTCAACCATGTAAAAATAACATTTTCTACTGCTTTTGATATTTTGAAGTGTAACTAGCATAATGCCATTTTTAATCAATTTTAAATACCTTTTTTGCTTCATATCCATATTTCATTTGACTTGACCATTAATACTTCTTATATAAACTTTTATTATAATTTCATAATTGTATAAATTATTTGTAAACAAACTTTCTTTTGTTTATTATGAAAAAATGTGCGT